AWWAAAAWWWTTWAWTWWWAAAAWAATCTAATTRGTTGATTTTYKTGTCTTTTYGACACGTRAAMACWCATTTACRGGGGAYGAGGATTRGTAAAGGCTCATCTRAAGACTTCAAGTTTATTGGATCGGTTTGACATAATCAAACACATGTAGTTAGAAGAAATGGAGTAAAACAATATTTGCACACAAAATTAGGGAGGTTGATCAAGTTCGAAAGTAACAAGATTCTTAAATAATATTAGCAGCATTTGTAGATATTAAATTTTACAATTTATGTATTTCCTCAGTGCATGGAAGTAGGGAGAGGAGAGTCGTCACCATTTCTAAGATTTGTTTCCTTTGACGGACAATCAAAAACACAATTACAAACGGAGTATATGCATTTTGCCTGGGAATTAGGTCCATGCACTCTCTTGCAAATATCAATACAATCATGTATCTCACATCCGGGATTTAGATAACGATTTTCTTCACAAACTTTGTCAGCCATCGATAACTCCATATCTGTAAATTCAGGATACACACTTATAGGACCATATCAGCAAACAATTATAAAATTCTCTAAATGATCAATAAGTTAGTAATCATCAAAATAGCTAACAGTAATGGATTTTATGTTAATCGAAAACACAAGATATCTGCTAAAACTGAAGAAGAACATTTAAATTTCAAGAAATTATGTATGATAAAAGTATTAATGAAGAAGAATTACCAATCATATATAACCATAAAAAAACACAAGAAATGTGATGAAAATCAATGACTTTGCCATGTTGAGCTTTGTTGGGTGTATGTTGTTGATGGATTATGTGGGGCTTAACCATACTTTTATATAAGAAATGGATCAACATTGTTTTGCACCCTTAATTATAAGTGCATTTATCGCTGAATTTAATATGACATTTAAGAGATAAAAAGAACAAATTAAAAGTCAAAGATTAAGGTTAAATTTTATGCTTTACATTTATAATCATATTATGTATTTCTTTTTTTCTTTTCTTTTTTGTAAAAACACATCATGTAGTTTTTTTTTTTATTAACCTGCATACCCAACCCGCTATTCGAGCTGACTAATCTTAGGGCGACCACATGCTTTGCAGATAATCCGGAGTCATCGTATTTGAATCTCCGTCGTCACAAGGGGATTTTTATTACTCATTGGATTTGAACCTGGTACCTCCTGCTATTTTTGACTTTTGAAGTCAAGCTTAAACCAATCAGACACCACCCTTGTGGTTCATCATATAGTTCTTTATGTTCAATGTAAGTGGGTTTGGTATTATTTGTACAAGACAAGTTGTATTATATATTTATATATATATATATAGATGAAATTCTAAATACAAATCCTATAATTGTTATAAACTATATAAACTAAATTTGGGCTCTAATTTTTTTTTAAAGGCGGTTATTAAATCAGTTGGAGATAAGGTTGAAAGTAAATTTAAGAGCCGATTTAATCTACATCGTT